CTAGGCTGAAATGATCTTCCTGCTTCAGCCTCCCTAATAGCTGGAGTTCTCTTTTCAGTTAATGTTTCTATTAATGACAGTTATGTGTGAAGGGGAAACTAAGCTGTTCTTAAATGCCTTGGCATAATCAAAGTCTAAATCATTTTTAAAATTATTACTGAATACTGAAATTATTGTTTCAGTGAATCTAAGCATATACCTCCAGTTATATTACTGAGTCAGTTATAGACATAGTGTATATTATATGCCTTAGAACATATACTTAAATAAGGTAATGCACATTACTCTGAAGCTTCTTAGTAAGAAAACATATTATTGAATCAGTGTCAGGAATACCTAAGACAGGAAAGGTGCAATGTCACACACCTGTAATCACAGCACTCAGAGGGTGACACAGAATTCTGAGAGTTTGAGATGAGCTTATGATATATAACAACATCTTGCCTCTGTAAGAAAAAAAGTGAAAACAACAACAACAACAACAACAACAACAAAGAGGAGGTAGGACAGAAAAGGTCTTAAGGCCTGTCTATAGAAATCTGAAAAGATAACATCTAGAGTTGATAACAAATATAGCTCACTAAAACCGTGAGATTAGAAAAATCTTATAACGAGATTGAAATACTCACAATTGTCGTTTTGGGCCGAATAACACTGTTAGTTATTTAGAGCTTATTCGTTGCAAATCCTAAGACCTTGATTAGTTTAGTTTGTCTCCTAGAATTTGTGGAAATAATTATTTTATATATAAAAGATTACTTTAAGAGAGTTAAGGGGCAGCAGGACATTGGTGGTGGACACCTTCCATTTCAGCACTTGGAAGGCAGAGGCAGACAGATCTCAGTGAGTTCAAGACCAGCCTGGTGTACAAAGCAAGTTCCAGGACGGCCAAGGCTGTTACACAGAGAAACCCTGTCTCAAGGGGTGTTGAAGGGTATATTATTTTCTAGAAGGCTTTTTTTCCTTTGTGTGTGTGTGTGTGTGTGTGTGTGTGTGTGTGTGTGTGTGTGTAAGAAATCACCTTTATGTAGTCTCTAGTTTTTGGCTTCTGTTTGTTGGATTTTTATCCTCACTGTTACATTTTGTTATTAAGTTATATGTCTCCCCCTTTGTCTTAGTATCTCAGTTCTGTGTGTCTTGGACTTGGAGATTCTTATCAGCATCTGCGTTCCAGAATTGAGTCTTCTTGCTAGTCATGTTTGGAGTAAACTCTTAGTATGTATGCCTAGTTTTCTTTAAAATACCAAGAACTGTGAACATACAGCTAAAAAAATTTGAGTTATTTTTAGAAACAAATAAGAAAATAGATTCTCTGTAGTTATAGTTTCCCCCCTCCATTATAGCCTTTTATGTAAAGCACACAGAACAAGATAGCATGCCTGATGGTTAAAAGCACAGGCTCTAAATGCAGACTGCGTGGGTTCTAATCCTCATTTTGCCTCTTGCCTGCTGGGCAGACATGGGCAGAGTACTAGAACATCTTGTTTCCATGCCTGTAAAATTGGGAGAATAATTTCAGTTCCAAACAATTATTGTCTAGATTTAATTTAATTCATTAAAAACATTTCTCTGAAATAAAGCATAATAGATGGTGGCTTGGTATTGCAATATCATTTTTTGTTATTATCAGAATGTCTGGTTGTTATCACTAATTGAGAGATACATTTTGCATTAGAAATTTAAGATAAAAGTTCAGGCTCTTTAAATATCTGGGCTCCTGTACAATAAAAAGTTATAAACTTCTTATTCCAAGAGGAAAAAGCCAGATCACAGTTAAAATCAGATCAAGGCAAAATCCATCCAGCAGTGTAAATGGTTCATTGTCTAACATCTGGAACACACACAAGATCTTCTGGGCTCCCAAGGGCTTGGGTAGCTCCTCTTCTCCAGCATTACCATCTACATCACACATAGCTTTTCTTGAAGGTGCAGACAAATCCACTCCACACCTGCTGCTGTCCTTAAGGTCATCCCACAGTCCTGCCATCTACAGTATATTCTGGACTCAGCTGCAACTGGCTGCACCTTCACCAATGTCCTCTGCTAGCCTCTTACAATGCCAGCCCGCAGATGCTCCCCATGATACTTTCCATCCTGTAGCTGTCATGCCACCAAAACCTGTGGAGGACTCTTACACTTTGTCAAGTTCAGCCTTGACTTCCTCTGAACCATAGCTCTGTGTGCTGATCCTGAAAAAATAATTTTTAAGATTGCACCCAGGCTGGAGAGATGGTTCAGCTGTTAAGAGCACTGCCTGCTCTTCCAAAGGTCCTGAGTTCAATTCCCAGCAACCACATGGTGGCTCAAAACCATCTGTAATGAGGTCTGGTGCTCTCTTCTGGCCTGCAGGCATACATGCAGACAGAATACTGAGAATACTGTATACATAAAAAAAAATTGCATCCCAGTGTTTTTCATCCCCAGCTAACTAGCATCAATTGTCCTAGTAAAGCAAAGGTTTCACTTTAGTGGTCCAGAGCAAGAACCACTTGGGCCTTCCTGTAATTTACTAATCCAGCAAGCTGCCAATCAGTCTCCTGTTGAGACTACTATTTTCTAAGTTAGCATTGGTCTTTAGGGGAGCAATCCTTGAGAGAAATAAACACATGGTCATTCAAAGTTCTGGTCTATAACAAGAGATAAATTATATTGTAGACGGTTGAGAAAATAACAATATAAAGTACTCACTCCTTTCACTAGTTGAGTTACTTTACCTCTTTAAGAGTAATTATTCTCTCTGGAGCTAACAACTTTTAACTAAGAGTGATTTGTTTTTATCATATGGAGATAAAAAAGCATAGTAAGTAACCATAGTTATTGGATTTTGAAATGTAGTTACTCAATTTATCCAGTACAATTTCAAACAGTTAAAGCATTGAAATATATTTGCTTAACGAGTTCATAAGCCTGAAACTAAAATTAGATGCTTGGAAGAAAGTGAAGAAATGAGTTTCAGTTTTTCCATTAACCTGAACATTGCATAGCGAGGGAACTTTTTTATTCTATCATCTTATCCTAGCTAATTAAACTTATTTTTCTCCCAGTTTAGTCTCTCTGTCATTTATTCAGAGATTAAAATATTTGTACCTTAATTTGAAGTTACAGAACCTTTATAGATAATTACCAGAGAAAATATGAGATGTTCTGCTTTACCAGCTCCTCTCTCTGCCTTTTTGTCCCCCAACTTTAGAATCACCTGACTTGGATACATCACCCTTAAAGTCATGATTTCAAGTCTGAAGGTCTTGCTGTGTGGTATACTCCAACAAGCTGATTTGCTTAAATTCTGTTGCGCCATTTCCATGAATCTGAGCTAATTATACTGCTGTCTCTCAGAGATGTATGTTAGAAGTCACGTGCACCTATTTCTGAAAATGACTTTGTACATTAAGACTCATTTATTCAGCTGATGGTTAGAGAGAAACTTAGATACAGTTATTGGTCATAATTTAAAAATACGGCAATATCATGGAACTGTCTTCTACTGCAGGCATATAAGCTGCGGTATCAACTTCTCAGTCGTTAGGGATATTGTAATTTGGCTTAATATTTTAATGGTCAAGATGCCACAAGGAGATGAAAGAAGACCTGTATCCAGCATGCAAACAGTGATAGGGTAAGCACTTGCAGTTGGCTTTTCTCAGGCAGCATTGATTTCTGTGCATTACCGGGTCTGTGTAAGATGCTGTCCTTTTAACACTAGCCGAATTTAAATGTCAGTAATTTTTTTCTGCTGCAGATTAGTGTAATACAGAGAAATTTTCTGTAAGTAAGGGGAGGCAATGGACGCCTGCTAATAGCCTAAAAGTAACTAATGAGGATGTGCAGTCAGACGATTGATTGAATGAATAGCTGCAGTCCTGTGTTTCTTTCTCGCTCGCTCTCTGCAAGCTGTGGAGAGGGAGGGGGAAGAGCAAGGCAGGGAGGGAGCACGAGAAAAAAAAAAATGCTTTCTCTTAAGTGGAAGTAGCACGGATCCCAGGGGCCAGGAGGCCAGAAATGGAAGTTTAAACTGCGTCTATCTTTTAAAGGCAGAACAGCAGGAATCAAAATGTCAGTCTCCGGAGTCACGGGTTACTCTTTATTTTTTAAGATCTGGAAGATAACACAGAATACTTTTTTTAGGATGTGTTTTTTTTTTCTTGTCCATGTTGAGATTATCTAATGTTATCTGAGAAGCTGGATTCTTATCTGTCTGTCAGTTGAAGTGGAGATGGGAAGCAGTTGTGATAAAGGTATAATATGTATAAATATCTGTGTATGCATGTGTGTATGTGTATATATTTTATATGTATGAGAAGAAACCTTTAAAATGTAATGTTCATGTGGTTTATAGCTCTTAAATTAGAGATCACATCATTTGCAGAATCCTAATCTTGTTAGATCATTTGAACAGAGCTGTGATTTCAGAGGAAGATGTGAGTAAGGTCATATAGCCAGAACAAGGAGAAGCGGCTCTATTTTTATATCTGCATAGGCATGTATATTCTTTTATCCTGCAGCACCTTTCAGTCTTCTCATAGCTTTTGCTACAGTCTGGTGAATCATCTGTACAGAACCGAACTTTGACCTTTTTATAAGCATGTCAAATTATGCACAACACTAGTATTTCTGGTTCACAAAAATATGAGAAATTTCTGACTCACTTAACTTCTAAATGGCTGATAGAGAAGTAGAGCCATATGGTACAAGATATAATTATTAGGTGAACCTTAAAACCTTAAACATATTATAGCTTGGAAAAATTACTTCTTATACATGCACAGATGAAAACACAAGTTGTTTCTTAGAATAGAGTTTTAACCCTGACCAAGTTTCTTTGTCTCTATAGGTTAAACACTACAAAGATACCTAAAGCATATTGAGATTAAAATGTAATAGACCTTTAAAGAAAAACAGCTCTTTTGTGTGAAAAGCAAAAAAACCCCGACTTTTATAGTTTAGGGAAAGTCTGAAATTTTGCATACTTCATGATGTTTCTCTTTCCTCCACTTTTCCAGAGGTGCCAGCAGAAAGGTCCCCCCGCAGACGGAGCATCTCAGGGACCAGCACATCAGAGAAACCCAACTCCATGGACACTGCGAATACCTCCCCTTTCAAAGTACCAGTAAGTGTTGCTTTCATATATATATATATTTTGTTCTCAGAGTTAAAGTAAATCAAACATTTTGTTCCTTAAGAATTACATTACAATACTGAGGATAAAAGTATATATTTCTATTGACTGTGAATCATATCCAGTATGAGGTCTATTAGATTTTAAGGAATATTATTTTTGCTTGTGGACTATTTAAAAAAAAAACCCAAGTGCTTTAAATCTGAATTTTTCTGAATTATATAGTGCAAATCTTTACAGGTGTCCTTTAATCTAGTTATTAGCTAAAAATATATTAATATTATAATAAATATTAACGTTTACTAAAAGCATACTGACATAGGAAGACTATAGTGGAGCATATAGCTAGCTACTAGGTGCAGCCTTTTGGTCTCATTACAAAACTCATATTTTTATACTTTATTATTTTAAAATTTATTATCTGTCTGTGTGCATGCATGCATGTGTGCATGCATTCACTACAATGCACATGTGGAAGTCAGAGGACAGCTTTGTGTAGTCTGTTCTCTTCTACTTCTATATGGATTCTAGGAATTGAACTCAGGTCATCGGGCTTTCATGGCCATAACCTACTGAGCCATCTTACCAGTCTTAAGTGACTCAGATATTGAGTCATCTCTTCTCTTTGAGTACTGGGTAAGAAATGGACCTGTTTTGTAAACATGTGAAAGTCTACGGTGTTATAAAAGGCATATTTAAAGAGAATTGCTTCAATAGATTGGTCATTATTCTAAGTACAATGATGAGTATAAGATAGAAATAAACTTTTCTATTTGGGGAAAAAAAACTTTTCCCTCTTAATGTAGCCAAACTAATATGTTCTTACTCCAATACTGTCAGGTTGAGATGCTTTTAAGTAGAACCTTTTTTAGATGTATGGTAGATGTGTTAGTCAACACAAGTAGGCATTTTATTTCTGTTAACTCGGAAGAACAATATACTTAATGTGTTTTACATTAAGAGTGGGTAGAGTTTGTGGGTATTTGTTTCTGTAAGAATCTTTCAGAGCTTTACAGGTTTCTATAGACTGCAAGTGAGTGCTTCATTAATCTTGCAATCATGATGTGGCAACTCTTTAATAGCATCGGATGTAATGTCTTACTAAATTTCTTAATTCTATAGAGACAGATACATATGTTTTACTTTTTATGAACGAAAAAAGCATGTTTCTTTCACTCTTTTTTTTTAACAAAGCAGAAATCAATACAGTTTAACTTGTATTATAGTTGTGCTGGGTTGTTTGTTTTGTTTTTCAACTTAACATATCTGGGAAGAGGGAATCTTAATTTCGAAAATGCCTCCATAAGATCGACTTTTAGGCAGATTGGTGGAGTAGTATCTTGATTATTGATTGATGTTGGGTGCCCAACCCATTATTGGTGTTATCATGCCTGGGCTGGTGGTCTTGGGGTGTATAAGAAAACAAACTGAGATAGCCAGTAAACAGCACCCTTCCATGAACTCTGCATCAGCTCCTGCCTTCCGGCTCCTGTCCTTATTTCCCTCTGTGACGGACTATGATGTAATAAGCCCTTTGCTGTCCAAGTTTTTTCTGGTTATGGTTTTTTATCACAGCAATAGACACCCTAACACAGTACTTCTGAAGGACACCATCATACTTCAAGGTGTATTATACAGCAATTCACTGTGATAACAGCGATCCTGAATTATTAAGAAAAAATGAGATATTCTTTTGTTTTGCTCTTTTTTCAAGGTGTAGCTGAGTATATTGCATATCAATTAATTATACTTAAAACTACTCATGTACAGAGAATTCATTGATACAGATGACTGTATTGAGTTCCAATTTAAGACTTTTACATTGTCTATGTGCAATGAAATGGTACTTTTTTACATTTTTTCTTAAAGTTCCCAAATGAGAATAGCTCTCTATGGTAACAATAAAAAATATCTTTAAATTATGTGTGAAATTTGTGTTCATACTTTTTAAAATTTAATTAAGAACTGCAATTTTGCTTATTTGAATAATAAATCGCAACTGATTTGTGTTATCTTAATAAAACTAACCGTTTGTAAATAGAAGTTTCAAAACTATGAAAAAGAAGTGCTTAAGACCAAGCACTACTTAGAAACCATATATTTGTTTGATAAACATAGAAATAATAAGGGAAAGAAGACTATTTTAAAATTACAGTCACAAAGCCACTTATTTCTAGGAGAATTAATCACTCAGAAGCCCTCACCTAGACATTTTTAAAATTAACCGTCAGAACAGAACTCAGTTTTTTATCAGCTCCCCTAAAAGAAAAAGACAAATAGCTAATATGTTCTAGTCGCTTTGGCCATCATATTTCAGAGTAATGTGGTATATAGAAGTTGACACTGATATTCTGATAATCACAGACCATTAAAGATATAAATTATATTTGTTTACTTATAAGTATAACTGGGTATATTATATATCATTAGAGAATACTTTACATCTTGAAAATAGGTGATCTTTATAAAACTTATTGTCCAGAAAGGTCCGTTTCATGCACATAAATAATACATTTTTATTTATTGTTTGACAAAATTATCATGTTTATAATGTATTTTGATCATATTCACTCCTCATTTTCCTCTTTTAGTTTGTCATCTCTGTCTCTCATTTAACAGTAATTTCCTATTCTGATTATCTTTGTAACTACCCCAGTTGCTCCATACAGTACCTTTTACATAGGTTGTAATCAATAGTTGTTTAGTGGATAAGATACATATCAACTATACAAGGATCCAAATAAAATGAGTTTTTCTCACATGTAGTGTCTTGGTAAAACTTATGTCTCTAGTAAATTAAAGTAATAACCTTTTGCTATAAGTAAACATTTCATAAGAGATTATTTGAAATTAGTGTGCCTGTGCAAAATAGGGTTTTTTTCTTAATTAAGAGAATTTTTAATTAACAGTTGGGATATATGTCTAAAGTACATTCTGTACATATTTATATTTGAAAATTGAAACTAGTTAGAATTTTTATTTAGTAATTTGTTTCTTGAAATATTTCTTTTGAGTCCTTTAGATATGCATATGTATAAGCCCACAGTGTTTTTGGTAGGTGTGAGTTTTGTCCGATTCTTCAAACAATTATAATCATTTGAATAGCTTTTGTTTCTTGAAAAATATCACTGTTTTGTTTGCTTTTTTCTAGGATGTATTTTTTGCCTTGGCATATTTGTACTTTTCTCTATATAAAACATCCTTTGTATGTTTTATATTCAAATGATATTTAAGTGATTTTATGGCAGAAATGAGGAACAACTGACTAAAATAAGTTATCTTTACTTAAATTTAATTCAGAAAGGAAGACAAACATGTCTTAAAGCTGTAAATAGTTGTTTCATATACAGTAAAAATTATGTTTTTAGAACAGGCTTCTTTATATCCTGTTCATAAAGTGACTAATGATATTTAGGATTTGTGGATGACTTCTACTTAGATGATACCATCCACTTGGCTTTGACTAGAGAGAGCTGCTTGTTTTCTGGGCCATGCGTTCGTTCAGCTTAGTGTTCTCATTTCCATAGCACAATGATCTGAGTTGGCCTTGTCTGTAACACAATGCAGTCACAGCTGCACCGTTTGTATTAGCTTTGAGCTTAGCTCTGAAAGAATCCAGACACTAAAAATTATGCCAAGACACACAGAAAGCATAGTTGAACTAAGGCAGTAGCCAGATATTTCTGTATAACCTTCCTTATCCTCTTGTTACTGTGACACTTGATCAGTTCTAGTCAAACAAATATGTTAATATAAGACATATTTAATCAAATGATCATACCTTGTATGGTTAAATAAACCTTCTGGAAAATAAAGTGAAGACTATGTTAAATCCTGTATAAAAAGATATTGGGGCTGGAGGGATGGCCAGCAGTTGAGCTCTTCCAGAGAACCCAGACTTAGTTCCCAGCACATTGGAACTCACAGCCAATCTCTGTAAGTCTAGTTCCAGGGGATTTGATGCCCTCATCTGGCCTGTGCACATATGTGTTCCACAAACTTCTATAGAGACAAAACACTCATACACATAAAATAAATAAATCTTAAAAGCTTTTTAAACACCAGATAAATGGTAACCCCTTTCTTAAGTATCATGCTCTCAGGATCAGCTAGTATTGGTTTCTATTGTACCTGATGTCTTCTATATGGTCTATATAAGTACTTTTCCAAATTAAACAGTTTCTTGCACACTTAAGAAAGACTGGGAAATGTTCATTGTTCAAACCAGTGGTTTTCAACTCTAACTAACCATAACATTTACCTTTCATAAAAAAGACTGACACTTGTAAAATAAGTCAGTGGGTTGGTTTTTTTTTTTTTTTTTTTTTGGTGGTGGTGGTGCTGGGCTTTTTGTTTGTTTGTTTTTATTTTGTTTTTTCTTTTTAAAAGATTCCCAAATGCCTCTACAATGCACCCTGGAATTTAGGATTGTTTGCCTTCATGATTGGTAGAATATGAGGAACACATTTGTGCCAGTCTTACCCACAAACATCAGTGCTTTCTTTTGTATCTTCAAGTCTGACATGAAAAACTAATCAGCAGCACTTCCTCTATGGCCTGCTGTTACTCATATGAAAATTGCTTGACAGTGCATTAATTACTTATATATGTGTTTGCCATGGTCATTTTAGACTACCAGTCTGACAGACTATTTACTGTGACATATTGGCCAGCATAAGAGTCTCCCTTAGGAGTAAAATAATGACGTTGATTTTATTGCATACAAGCTGAAAAACCTCAAAACTGAAAAATTTCAAATTTTATATCCACTTTGCTCTTTATTCCAGGAAGACAATTACAGCCGTTTCTCCTGGTGCTTACAGACTCATATCCATCTTTTCTCTTTCTTTTCACTGGCCATCCATGCAGAGTCAAATCTGTAATAGAATCACCCTACAATGATACATCTTTTAATAAAGAGTTTGTGTTCCTATGTACATGAATATATAATATAAGCATATATAAATACATTATTGCCAGAGGTAATTATA